ATTCCACTTGGTCAAACTGCTTTCTTGTTGTGGACATTTGTCACCACACACTGTGTGTGTATATTGAAAGCACTGAATATTGTAATATTTGCACTTATATTATAATCACTTGTATTATGATGCATATTTCACTATAGAAATCACTGAGTGATATAATCACCTAATATTCATGTTATATTACATAAGTAATTTTATTTTGGTTCACATTAAGGTATGCATTTTTGGATATTATGTTTTTAAATCTTAGCAGCGCTACACAATATATATATTGTTTTATCATTCTTCCTTCTAAAAAGGAGAGGATTGGGTGTCAGCAGCAGCCCCGTAAAGTATATCTGAAATAGCGGAGCAGGAGGATTAACTATTCATAGGTGGAGGAATTGTGATGTGGCCGGGTTGTCGGTGTTAACAGGGATGTTGAAATCCCCAAGGATGATGGTGGGTAGCTCGGAGGAGAGAAAGAAGGGTAGCCAGGCGGAAAAAGTCATCAAGGAAGCAGGATACAGGTCCAGGAGGCCGGTAGATTACAGCAATCCTCAGGGGGGTTGGGGAGAAAATTCGGATGCAGTGGGCTTCGAAGGAAGAGAAGGATAGAGAGGGGGGGGGTTTGGGAGGACTCGGAAGGTGCTCTGCGGTGACAGGAGCAGACCAACCCCACCACCTTTATGACCGTTGGGTCTGGGTGAGTGGGTCCAGATGAGACCTCCATAGGAGAGTGCAGCAGGGGAGGTAGAGTCAGTGGCCTGGATCCAGGTTTCCGTGATCGCTAGGAGGTTGAGGGAGCGGGAAACAAAGAGGTCGTGGATGGCAGTAAGCTTGTTGCACAGTGATCGGGCATTCAGGAGTGCACACAAAAACGGAGGGGTGGTTTTAGGGAGCAGGGGGACAGATATTAGGTTGAGGGGGTTATAGTAGGACGTGGAAGTGGGAGGGTGCCGTGTGGGAGAGCAAGGTGGTGGAGGGCCAGGGTTCGGGGAGATGTCCCCCGCTGTTAGGAGGAGAAGAAGGGTGAGAAAGGTGGCATGGGAGCGGGATGTGCAGGAGCGTGTAAGTCTACCAGTGGGGGTGTTCGGGTCAGTGGGAGGGTGGAACATTAGGAGGTGGTGGGTGCCGTAGAGGGGCGAAGGAAGCAGTGAGGACACAATATGCAGTTGTTTGGGAGGAGCAGAGGGATATAGAGAAGGGATTTTGGGAACGGAGGAGAGGAGTATGAGGAGGAGGAGTGGAAGAGGCATTTAGGGAGGTACACGGGGTGGCGGATAGGTGCGGTGGGAGGCTTGGCTGCGGATAGTCCAGCATGCGGTGGCGTATCTCGTTGCTGTGTCTTCCGGTAGCTGGAGTTTAAGGGAGTGGGGATCGGGTGTGGAGGGATGGTGTCCAGGGGCGCTTGATTGGAGATTGTCAAGCGTGCAGTGGGGTTTATCGTTGTAATGTCTTTCAGCTAGTGTTCTAGTCCTTAGGTCAAGTTGGGCTGGGGTCGGTGTGAGTGGTCTCTGGGTGGTCGAATCAGGAGCGTTGTGCGGCTGTTTCTTGTCCTTTGAGTCAAGCTGGGTTGGGGTCGGCGTGAGTGGTGTCTGGGTGGTCGGATCAGAAGCGTTGTGTGGCTGTTTCTTGCGGGAGGATGCACGTGATCTTGTGGAGACTTGCTTGGCAGTGTTCAGGGTCCAGGTGGAGGTCCCAGGTAGAAGGATGAGGGTTGGCTTGAGGAGGAGAGGGATGGGTGGGAGTTGCGAAGTTGATGTCCCTTGGAGCCGGTGGGGAGAGATGAGGATGGACGGAGATGGGGAAGTCTTGTCAGGATGCAGGGGTGGGAATGGAGGTGGATGGAGATGGAGGTGGCTTACCGGATGCAGGGGACGCTGTAGGGAGCCTCGGGGGGTTCACTGCTGACTCCGGGTGGAGACCTGGGCGCCTGGGTCTCAGGCTGAGCGGCTGCGCCAGGCTGCAGGGTAGTGTCCACGGGTGGTGTGGGGGTCGGGTGGTGATGCCGTGCTGGGCCCTGTGGGACCACAGCAGCCTGGTCCTGCAGGGGTGGTTCTTGACGTTAATCATATTAACATCAGCAGCTGGTAGCAAGCCAAATTTTAGTGTATTCACTCCCCTGTATTTTTCTGAGATCTCTTTATTACAAATAATTGATTTGTTTAAAAGAATAAAAAAATAGTGAGGAAAATATATGTTTACATTTTTCTAATTTGAATAATATACAGGATTTATGTAGAGCAGACAGTTTGCGCAGCACATACCAAAATGGATTCACAGCACATGTACAATATATTTCAATACAAAAGGGATCAGAGGGTCCTGCTCGTTACAGCTTACAGTCTATAAAAACGTTGTTGTTAAATTGCATTTCTGTTTATTGGTATTTGTTGTACAACACAATTCATTCCATACAAAGATTTTGCTTTCTTTTTGGAATTGTTTTGTGTCTTGGGATGTGCAAAAATCAAACTGAATTTCTATTATGAAATTAGAGAGCTATACATAAATCCTAAAAAGATGTTTGGGGGGGGGAAACAGAAAAAACCCAAAAGTGCTTGATTACCAATGAAGATCCCACTCCTATGATCAGGAAAATGAGATCCTCAGATCAGTTGCTGAAATTCTTGCAGCTCAAAACTTGAACAATAACAAAAATAAAATGTATAGAAATGGAAGTCAAATGACACAATATACAAGACAGACAATACTGAATATTTTGGATATAGAGGAACAAGGTGTTTGTTGTATGCTGTGTCATCACCCCTAAGGGAACTCACAGTCATCACAAGTGATTGATTTTCATGTCCACACAACAACTGGTTTCAAAAGTGGGCCTTGAACCTAAAAGAAATCACATTAGCACTGGAAAAAACAGTGGTGGTGGGGTATCCCTTCCAGTCAGCAGCATGACCTGCTTTAACTGTTCTAATAGTAGGCAATAGTAGTCAGCGGCAAGGGCTTAACTATAGCCATGACAAACTATGTGACTGCTATAGGGCCTAGAAGCATAGGAATCTCAGTACTGTCTGGCTACAGCAGCTGGTAAATAAATGTGTCCTCATAGCATTCTGTTATTGTGCAGACCCCATGTACACTGCTGCTCCTAAATGTGAGTTTAGGAGCTTTTGGCATTTTTTTGCCAAAGCCCCTGAACTCTACTCAATAAAAGTCTATGTGTCCATGTACACATACACTTTTACCAAAGTTTAGGAGCAGCAGAGTTTAGGGGCAGTTAAACATTCCACTTCTGAATGCAGAATAATCGCATTCAGAAAGGAACATTTTCGCCAAAAAAAACACTAAATGCGGCAAAAACACGTGTAAGCTCGGCTAAACACAGTTAAATGTTAGCCATGTTTAGCACTTGGGCATTTATCCATGTCAATGGAAAATACTCTAGCCAATCAAGTGAATAAATGTTTAAGCGCTAAATGCGGGTAAACGCAGTAGCACGTTTACACGCGTTTTTGCCTCATTTAGCATTTTTCTGCTTCCAGGAGAGTTTAACTACTAGGTGAGTTCATGTGTACATAAGGCCTAATAAATGGAGAGAAATATTCCTAAATAGTCCAACACTTAAGCCCCGTACACATGGGCCAAAAATCGTCCAGTTTCAGCGGAAACTGGTCAACATTCAGTCTGTGTGTACAACTATCTGACAATGCTGTAATTGTTGATGAATCAATTTTGATGCAGGGATCCGCCAGGTTTCTTTTGTTCAACAAGCTAGCTGTATGCATGTACCCAGCTTAAAATGGAACTTTACCCATAACAACTTTACCCACAAAAAAGAATGTTATTTAGAAAGAAACATACGTTATTCATTAATAATTATGTTACTAAAAGATGTGTGTGCTGTAAATTGCCTCCAGCATTGCTCCTGTTTCTTCTTACTGGAGGCTGCCATTTTGCTGAAACCCAGATCCCCTGAGCAACCATAAATCTTTAGGCTGTCAGCAGATCGGCCTCTACAAATTCAGCACAGTCCCTATAAATAGAGAGCAACTGAGCATGTGCAGAGTAGGGGGAGACTGGATCCAGAGTGTTTAGAGGATTTTAAACAGTATAGGCCCTTATTTTTAATGTTTTACATAGCTATTTCCGGAAAAGGGGTCAGCCTGATGTGATCTAGCAGGACTTAACTTTCTGGCTAAAGTTCCACATTAACTCTAAAGGCAGAAAGTCTTCTGATATAACTGTATCTGAATTATTTTCTTCATACTGGCTAATAGGTTTCTTCAATTGTTTCTTTTTTCAAAGTTGATCCAGGGAATACTCGATTGCCTTTCAGGGGATAAGGAAGGAATTTTTTCCCTGCAGGAGCAAATTGGATCATGAGTTGCTGGTTTTTTTGCCTTCCTGTGGATCAACTGTGGGTGTAGGATTCTAACTTTTTTTTTAATGGTTGAACTGCATGGACTTTTGTCTTTTTAAGCCAGATTAACTATGTAGCTATGTATATGCAATTATCATAACATTTGGTGCTAATAGCTGTATATTTTCAAATGCATGTTCTGTCTTCAAGGTCTATGGATTGGAATATTTTGCGCAGTGTCACTGCAAACTTGCTCCTTTCTACTCTATATCTTTTGTATGAACTGGCATGAAGTCTGTGAAGAGGTAATGAACTTACTCAGTTAAAAGATGCTGTAGTTTGACTTAAAGTGAACCTTTGCTTTATCCTTGCCCCAGTCCCCATCTGTACATACCTAACTTTCCATTGAGCCCTTACCAACTTCATTCAGCAGCTGGTAGTGAAGAGGAATACCTGGTACTTCCTGGTATGGGGAAAATTTGAATCACTCTCATTCCTCTTGTGTGGTAGCCTGGCGGCTGGCTGATCAGTACCTCACAAATAGGTTTAGCTAGGGAGGATGTATTTAACCACCTCCCGCCCACCATATAGTCCAATGACGGGCACAAGGTGGTTCTCTCGTTCTGAGAGGACGTCATATGACGTCCTCCCATTCTCACCACGCATGCGCAGCTCAGGGAGTGCACAGCGCGGCGATTGGTGGTGCGCTGTGTCCCTCGGACACAGCGGATCACCGATCACGGAAAGAGCTGAAGATGTCGGCTCAGTCATGTGATCAGCTGTGTCCAATCACAGCTGATCACATGTAAACAGGGAAATGCCGGTTATCGGCATTTCTCTCCTCTCGAGCTGTCACACTGACAGCTCGAGAGGAGAGGAGAGCCGGTAATCGGCTTTCCGCAGAGGGGACATATACACTGATCATCAGGGCACTGATGATCAGTGTAGCCCCAGCAGTGCCACCTGTCAAAGTCCATCAGTCCCAGCTGTCAGTGCCGATCAGTGCCACGTGCCAGTGCCTATCAGTGCCACATCAATGCCACATATCAGTGCATACCAGTGCACATCAATGCCACATATCAGTGCCCATCTGAGCTGCCTTTCAGTGTCATCCATCAGTGTCAGTCAGTGCCACCTATCAATGCCAACCAGGGCCACCTATCAGTGCCAGTCAGTGCAGCCTATCAGTGTGCATCAGTGCCACCTATCAGTGCCATTAAGTGCCGCCTGACAGTGCCATATATCAGTGCCATGTATCAGTGCTGCCTTTCAGTGCCCATCAGTGATGCCTGTCAATGCCCATCAGTGCCACCTATCAGTGTCCATCAGTGCAGCCTATCAGTGCCCATCAGTGCAGCCTCATTAGCGCACATCAGTGAAGGAGAAAAATCACTTATTTACAAAATTTCATAACAAAAACTAAGAAAAAAATTTTTTTCTCAAAATTTTCAGTAGTTTTTGGTTTGTTTAAGAAAAAATAAAAACCCCGAGGTGATTAAATACCACCAAAATAAAGCTCTATCTGTCACAAAAAAATGATAAAAATTTCATATGGGTACAGTGTTGCATGACCGCTCAATTGTCACTCAAAGTGCAACAGCGCTGAAAGCTGGAAATTGGCCTGGGCAGGAAGGGGGTATAAGTGCCCAGTAGGCTAGTGGTTAAGCGAATCATTAACTTTTAAGCAAACCCTACATGGCTAAAGCAAAGGTTCACATAAACTAATTTTCTCAAAACATTTTAAATTATTTGAATAAATGTAACAAAAATTATGAATTTCTCTTAGATTCTTTCAGGTGTTATGCTTGCCAAGCTGTTATAATACCCCTAAACCTAATTGCTGTATTATTAACACATGCCACAGTTTGTTTTATTTACTGGTTTAATTTTTGAAGGTTGAGGGAAAATGAAAAGGTTGCAGAGGGTAAAGATAACAAATTGATCTTTCATTTGCTCCCCGATATTGATGTTCATCTGATGGAGCCCCCTGAAAGCTGTGTAAGCTCCAACCCAACACGAAGCTTCAGTTTACATATGTTTTTTCTGTGTAAAGTACCCATTCAGGGAAAGAACACTCACAGATCCGGCTGCTATTATTTGTCTTGTGTTATGTATAAGAAAGCAGTAATAAGTAGTGACAGTTCTCAAAGGCACTAATGCAAGGCAGTTTATGTATAAACAATGTCACCAGGCTCTGGCCTATGTTGTCAGTGGATGGCTTCTGCTGGAGGTGTGGCGGTTTGTGGTACACTGGGATGGCACTGTAATGCTGCTAGTGAAAGTCCCAAGATATAAATCTGGTTACCGGGATGTTTCCAGACTGCAGGCATTGTCCCAGTGCTGACCCAACTAACTAGGAACCTTTTCCTGCTCTAATATCTTTCCCTGGCCTGTGAGTATCCAGGTACACCCAAATGATGCAGTGGACCCTATAAGGTTCCCGGTCAAGATGGGAGGCTGAGATCTCTAGAGGTTGCAGAATTCAGTCAGAGAGAGAGTTGGCTTCTCTGAGACCCTGAAAGATTCCTCTGCACCTGTAGCAATGGCATAGTGCCTACAGGTTGGAGGTGAAACTACACATCTAAGGACCCCCCCCATGCCCACCCAACAGTGTTAATGACTGCTGAGAGGGCACTTAGTTTTTAGGAGGACAGGGCAGTCAGAAATACCTCCATACCAAGAAGGGACTTCTTGGAGACTCATAGAACTGCTGGGGTTAGCAGCAAGTTAAGACAATTCCCAAGCAATAGCAGGTAGCTCAGGCAATTACCTTTCAGATTTCACCTGCAGCATCAATAACTGGAGAAATCACCTATTGTTAGCCGACCATTAAAGTGCATCTAAAAACTTAAAGTGAAGCCGGCAGAATATAATGATCTTTGCCGGCAGCTGTAGCTGCCGGCAGTTAGGGAAGGAAAAAAACCCAGCTGAACTGGTCGAATTTCAATACAACTGTGGCCAGCATTACTCTTGTTAGTAAACTACTCAGCCTGTGTAAGGAACACAGAATTTACCATTTTCTATGGAAACCCCCATTTCAACATATTGTATGATGGGTTATTCTTTGTACTTATTGTATCTAATTATACATTTCATGATGGCAGGCTAGAATAAGAGCTGGAGTGAAACCATTGAACGTCCCTGACCCCAGAATTTCACAAACCAATATTTTGAAATCTACATTTGACTTGGAGGAAAGTGGTAAGTTGACCACACAAAAGAGTGAATGTGTTGCTGCATTATTTGATACATATTAAAAGACAGTTCTTATTTTGTAAATGAATGGAAGGGTAAATAATAAGACAATATTAGGTTTGATTGGCCAATATATTTTAGATGCCTATCAGTACCTTTATTCAACTTTAGTGGCTTTGCTAGCCCTGGGTACCAAGTGTGCATGTCCTAGGTCCCTATTTTTAAGGACAAAGTCTGAGCAGGTAAAAAAAAAGTCTCATTCCTTAGAAAGAAAGCACTGGATTCTTCATCAGCTTAAGGGGGGATGGTGGTAAATCATTTAAAAAACTTTTCCTAGCACTCAAGTAGGCTTTAAAGCCTAACTCCATGTTTCCTGTGACTGGCCCAAACTAACTATTTCCTTCACTAACAGATGTGCATGCTGGGTTGTATAGACTGTATGTAAAAAGAAACAGAAACATCAGCTATATACAATATACAGTGCTGTGTTCCAGCAGCGGGATAAGGACCTTTAGTCCCACTCCCACAAAAAAATCATGTCAGGCTGAGCACTGCTTAGTCATTCACAGCCAGATTTCTATTCTATGAATGAATACAAAGCAGCCTCTGACTGGCTGAGGCAGAAGCAGAAATCGTGACATCATCTGTCAGCCTCTTTTGCAAACAGGCTTTTAATAAAGAAAAGGCATATGATGTCTCTTCTGCATTAAAGTTTTCTACCTGCCTGCCTGCACCCAGGGTTACTGTTAGAAATCACGGGGCCCTGTACAGCTTACCTGACTGCCGTCCTCCGCCCAAAATGTAAAACAAAATTTTTGTTAAAAATACACTAAAATCATTACTAGCAGATAGAAACATAACATAACTTACAAAATGTCTGCTAAATCTAAAAGATATAACTGTATTGAGTAAATAAATAAACGTCTGTGTAAATTAGGTCTTGGGGCACATTCACATGGGTGCTGTGACCTGTACAATGTGAATCAGTGTCATCATGTGGCTGGAGCTGTGTGTAGGCAGCTTACGTTACTCTACGGGAATGCAGCAGCTGTATGAACAAAGCTGCAAGTCCTAATTTGACAGACACGTGAGTGCAGGTGTACGGCCCCAAACACAGACATGGTGCATTCCGGACCACTCATCCACTCTTGTACACCTGTCAAATTAGGACGTGTGGCTGTGTTTGTATGGCTAGGAAACCTTTGAGAATGAGCCCTTGATTTTTTTTTTTTTTTTACATTTCTTAATTTTTAACAGTTTTATTTTACAATTTTTTCATTATTGTTTTTCACAACGCAGTTTGGGGAAGCTGTTGGGTGGAGACCCCTGAGGTCTCACGTTTGAGACAAAGAAAGACAGACATAAATTTATCAATCCTTTTTTCTGAACCCTCCGCTTCACTGCAGGTCTCACTAAACTTGATAAGCACTAGAGAAAAACATACATGGGCCTTACCTACAGAAATCATTGAACATATACCTATATAGGATAATAATGATGATAATATCTGTTTGACGCTTCTGTATTACAGGGGGCACAACCATGTCTGATTCCAGCTTTAATGCTACTGCCATGCATAACATGGCCCCTGGGGAGGATCTTACAAAACAACTGGAGTTAAAAGATGATCTACCAATGGAAACAACTAATGTTGTAGGTGAAATCCTTTCCACTAAACAGCTGATTGTCCGGAGGGGACTAGCATTGCTTCTATCCATTAGCATACTTCTGATTGGAATTGCTATCAAACTACTTACTACCAATAGGTAATGCAGGAGCCAATGAGCCTCGATGAACACACTTAAATGAGCATGCTGTGATTTATGGACAAATTTCCTCACTATATTCAGTTCCAAACAGCTTTATAATCCTTTACCCAAGTAACCAGTTCTTAAGACTTTTCATAGTTTGTTTTACAAAAATGTAAAAATAGCAAGTCCAGAAAGGAACAATGTGACAATAAATGAAGAATATGAATTGCAGTCATTAAACCTCTAGAAGTCTAACCAGAAGCAAGTCAATCAGATACTTCTAACCAAGCCATAATATTAAGCATAACATAATAAAATGTATTCAATTATTAAAATGTGATAGTTGTAAAAAAAAATACATACAGTGCCTTGAAAAAGTATTCATACCCCTTGAAATTTTCCACATTTTGTCATGTTACAACCATAAACCTAAATGTATTCTATTGGGATTTTATGTAATAGACCAACACAAAGTGGCACATAATTATGAAGTGGAAGGAAAATTATAAATTGTTTTACATTTTTTTTTACAAATAAATATCTGAAAAGTGTGGCGTGCATTTGTATTCAGCCCCCCTGAGTGAATACTTTGTAGAACCACCTTTCACTGCAATTACAGCTGCAAGTCTTTTTGGGTATGTCTCTACCAGCTTTGCACATCTAGATAGTGAAATTTTTGCCCATTCTTCTATGCAAAATAGCTCAAGCTCTGTCAGATTTGATGGAGAGTGTCTGTGAACAGCAATTATCAAGTCTTGCCACAGAGTCTCAATTGGATTTAGGTCTAGACTTTGACTGGGCCATTCTAACACATGAATATGCCTTTATCTACACCATTCCATTGTAGCTCTGGCTGTATGTTTAGGGTCGTGATCCAGCTGGAAGGTGAACTTCCACCCCAGTTTTGAGACAGTCTCGAGACAACAGATTTTCTTCTAAGATTGCCCTGTATTTGGCTCCATCCATATTTCCATCAACTCTTACCAGTTTCCCTGTCCCTGCTGAAGAAAAGTATGGTGGGGTGGGGATAATGTGTTCAGGGTAATGTGCAGTGTTAGTTTTCCGCCACACACAGTGTTTTGCTTTTAGGACAAAAAGTTCAATTTTGGTCTCATCTGACCAGATCACCTTCTTCCACCTGTTTGCTGTGTCCCCCACATAGCTCCTTGCAAAGTGCAAATGGGACTTCATATGGCTTTCTTTCAACAATGGCTTTCTTCTTGCCACTCTTCCATAAAGGCCAGATTTGTGGAGTGCACGACTAATAGTCTTCATGTGGACAGATTCTCCCACCTGAGCTGCAGATCTCTGCAGCTCCTCCAAAGTTACCATGGGGCTCTTGGCTGCTTCTGTGATTAATAC